AAATAGTATACTCAACAGAAGGGGCCATGGTTACACAGTGGGTTAACTGCTGGCCTACCAACCACAAGGTTGGCAGTTCAAACCCACCAGTTGCTTTGTTGGGGGTGGGAGGAGGTTGTCAGCTTCCCCAAAAATGTGTTGTCTTAGAAACCTTAAGCAACATTCCTCTATTCTTAGTCAGAATCTACTTAATGGCAGTGGACTTGGTAATTTGGAATTATATCCAATATTTCCAAAACCAAACACACTGCCCTCAGTTCTGACTTAGGGTCATCATGTATCCAGTTGACAACTTTTTAAAATTATAAGGTGCTTGGGTCTTGCCTTTTATTTTATTTATTTTTAAAAATAATTTTATTGGGGGATCTTACAACTCTTATCACTATCCATACATAACATTTTATTTTTTGTAAAACATACAATGCTGTAAAATTTTTAATTTACAGGAAGTTAGATAATTTTCCATACAAATAAGAACAAGTAAGAATTTATATTTAAAGCAATTTGTTAAACTAGTTTTTTATATGATAGGTTTGTGGGGATAGGGAGAATTTTAATAAATTTAGTAATTTAATACTTTTTGTGTCTGTTAATTTTTTTTTTAGTGGGGGTGTGCATATTTGTTTATATTGGATTTTCCTTTTTCAAAATAAAAGACTTGTGCTTTTATTTTAATTGATAAGTGGCTATGATGTTTCTTTTTTTCCTTAAGAAATGTGGTCTTGTTTTGAGCTGGAAGAGAGTACAGGGTGCTTCTGGAAAACTTCAAGGTAGGTAAAAATTTCCCTCCGTTTTTTGGTTGCAATTATTTTAACCTGTGCACATAAATCAGTTTTTACATGTTTATTTTCATACTCAACTACGGTCATTGTTCGATAAGCACTCTTTCTATTGAAATGTGATGAAAAGTTAAAAGTCAGTTGGGAAGATGGTGGTTTAGAGTTAAGAAGGAAGTTGAAAATATATAAATGTGGTAAGAAGGGAAAATTTTTTCAGACTAAGTTCCTCCTTTTAATTATACTTTTTAAAAGTTTTGTTTTATTGGGGGACAGCATGATCAAATTTAGAAAAAGTATTGGTAAAAGGCAATGGGTGACTATTCTGTAAAGCAAACGGTCCTAATATTTATTGGTAGAAGCACTTGTTGGATTGTACTTGTTTTTTCTTTTTGTCATTTGGTTAAAAATTTATAGAGCAAATTGTTTTTTTTCAATAATTTGTACATTTTATTTTGTGATATTTATGGTAATACAGTGTAAAAGTTTTCTTTCCACTTATGTTTTCTGTTTCCATTTGTCTTTCTTTCCTAACCCTTCCCACATCCTGAGCTTTATCCCTGGGCTAATGATGGCCTTTGATCTCATGTGCTTGATGGTTATTGTGAAAACAGCATGGAGGCCACATCTGACCTCTTGCTATGGTAGGGAGGAGGAGAATTTTAACTCCACCAGCCCAATGTCCATTACAGGGGAGTGGTAAGACATGCCTCCACTCTCCTTTCTTTCTTTCACTCTATTCTGACACTTAAATGGTCCTCCATTTTGGTTAGGTTTGACAAGCCATTGCAACGTCCTCATAAACTCACAGACCATACTCAAAAATTTAAAAGCCGTTTTATTGACACATGATTTTTGTACCATAAAATTCAATGGTTTAAATTTGCTAAATAATTGTGTAGTCATCACCACAACAAATCTATAACTTTTTCTTCATTTTTGTACCTATTATTAACTCCCCATTTCCACCATCGTCTGTTGCCATAATTCTTTAAAAAATCAACAACAAAAAACCCTATTGATGTAGTTATTGTCTCTATAACAATACTCACAATGGGGGGTAATTGGGAAAACAAATGATTAGAAAACAATAAGGGTATAGTCATTGTTCCATTGCAGCACCTCTGGTTGTTCCAACCAGCAGCCAAGTCTCTCTGACCCCCAACATCTCAGTCACATAACCCCTTCTCTCTCCCTATATGGGCCAGGTAGCTAGTCCACACTGGGCCAGGTAGCTATCCTCACAGACTCATGATCTCATCTCTGGGCCTCAACCTCTCAGTCATGCAGTCCCTGGGCCTCTACCGTCCCCACTTCAGACAGGAATCTCCCATACACTGCTGGTAGCTGTTCTTTATTGATTCCAGATTCTCTCATCTTGTCTTAGAGGTGACTCTTTCATAGTCAGAGGAATGGCAAAACTGACCAATCCTGTTAGTGCTTCACATACATTATTTGGTGGGAGTTAAACAAAATTGGATAGAAGAGCCGTAGTAATTAATTTCACCTCACAGTTATGCATTTTAAAAACTTATATGAAGTTTCATGTATTTAAAAAAATAATATGAACTTCCATGTACTCATCACCCAGTGTTGTTTTTTTTTAAAAAAATTTATTGGGTGCTCTTACATCTCTTATCACAATCCATACATTCCTCCAATGTGTCAAGCACATTTGCACATATGCGGCCAATCATCATTTTCAAACCACATGAGCCCCTGATGCCAGCTCCACATTTCTTCTCCCTACCTCCCTCCCGCCTGCCCTCCCTCATGAACGCTTGATAAGTTATAGATTATTTTTTCCATATCTTACATTATCCTCTGTTGCCCTTCACTCACTTTTCCGTTATTCATTCCCCTGGAAGGGGATTCTAGGTTGATCCTTGTGACCGATTCCTCCTTTCTCCCCCCATCCTCCTCTAATTCTGGTATCTTTACTCTCCTTGTTGGCCCCGAAGTATTTATCTATCCTGTATTCCCTGTGTTGAGGGCTCTTACCTGTAGCAATGTGCACGCTCTGGTCTAATCTGATTTGTAGGTAAAATTGAAGTCATGATAGTGGGGGGAAGGAAGCACCAAAGAGCTAGAGGGAAGTTGTGTGTTTCATCAGTTGTATACTGCACCCTGACTGGTTCATCTCTTCCATATGACCCCTCTGTGAGGCTATGTCCAATTGTGTACAGATGGGCATTAGTTCTCCACTTCGGCTCCCCCCTACCCATTCACCTTGGGTATGATTTTATTTTGGGTCTTAGATGCCTGATCCCTGATTCCATCGACACCTCGCATCACCCATTTTTGACTCTTATAAACTCATACCAATTTTTTGTGTCTTCTCTATCCCATCCACTTCTTCTGAAGTACTAGATCATCTTCTTTAAATATTTTTACTATGTGTCTTCAGGAGGTAAAGATATAAATATATATCCAAAATGCGATTCGGAGAGCTTTTGGTTGTTTAAGGCCCTAAGGTTAAACTTGAAATGCTTACCAAAGGGAATGAAGGAAAGGGGAGTACTTGCGTAATCTGTGCATTGTATTTGATCTCTAATGATTTTTTTTAGTCTTTCATAATTACATTGATATTTCACTAATTCTTTACATCCATTGATAGCCTTTGGATTCTGTGAGTATAAGGAGCCTGAATCTACCCTCCGTGCACTCAGGTTATTGCATGACCTGCAGATTGGAGAGAAGAAGCTACTTGTTAAAGTTGACGCAAAGACAAAGGCACAACTTGATGAATGGAAAGCAAAGAAGAAAGCTTCTAATGGGGTATGTTTCCCTAATGCTGTATCTTGTGGCTAGTTGTGCTGTTTCAGTATAAATGATTTTCTTATAAATGAATGGGGATTCAAAGATCATTATCATAAATCACGCTTGTGGCTAAATGCAGGAGGGTAATTTTTAGTTTGTAGTTATTTTAATTCTTCTATCTACCCACAGTGCGTGGGTGACTGTTGGTTTGCTTATTCCAGGTTGGGATGAAGGTAGTAAGGGAGGCTGGACAAGGTTAACTTGCCAGAGAAAACACTGGTACAGACTATTCCAAACAGAGCTAATTCATTAAGGCAGCTTTGTAAGTAAGTACAAAATATATTTCAACCTACACAATTTTTATTAGTTGCCCTCTTTTAGAAATACAGAGGTTCTAAGATGAATAAAAATGAATCTTAATATTTTTCCACAGTTGGATGTCTTTATTTAGATTATCTTAAGTGAAGTAAATTTTTGTATGTTGTGTTGTAATGTGTATGTCAGTACCCCTTCCTAACAAATGCTAAAACCTGAATATATTGCCCCTTGCTTTCTTTCCTAATTTCTTATTTGCCACATGAAGCTCAACAGGCCACATTAGATTATTACATTCTCCCAGAAAAACAAACATTCTAAGAACAACAGTCTTTGCTTTCAACTCAGACTTTCAGTATTTTATTTTCAAAACAGAAGTAGCTTTCTTTTCCCTCTATTATTTCAAAAAATGTTGTTAAAAATTCACAAATCAAACCCAAGTATCAAAATGTACCTTTTATAATATCATTACCATAAGTAACTTAAAAAAAATTTCATGGAAGAATTTCTAAAAATAGTTATATTGGCATATAAATCACATCACAATTTGAGTATTCAGTCATATTAAGAGTTGTTCACGTATGTAAGTATTATAGACATTGGTACTTTTTTGGGGTACATGTTTCTCTAGATAAAAATTTTAAGTACTGTTTTGTAAACAAGTTTATAACTTAATTCTATTTTTCCTTGACCTATTACTATTACCCTAACCTGTCTGTGGATGTCATTTACTCTCATCAGAGTTTGGAATACATCCTTTATTTCTAAAGCACAAGTATAATTATGTTAGCATCTACTCATGCAACTTCAATTTTGGGTAAATTCCCAGTTCTTAACATAGTGTTTAAGACTGGTGCCAGTTGGCCACATCTTTTCTATGTCTTTGCTGACATGTTCTTGTTGTCTCTTCAAGTCTCTTATTTAAGTTTAGTTTTTAGAATTAAAATCAAGATATCCCTTATTTCATGCCTTCATTAAGTTTTCTATATTACCATATAAAACAGATTTTAACTGTTAGTATCGATTTTAAATCTTCCTCTGACATCCTGTTATGACTACCAGGTAGTCTCTTCAGTTTGTACCATGCATAGTACTTAGCATAACGTTATACCCATAGCAAAGTACAGTGAACATTTATTGGATAAAAGGTACAGGTTTATTACTTCCGGTGATCTTGATTATTGTCAATAATAATTTCTCTGTACTGTAAATTACACCTCAATACAGAATTTATTTCCTGTTACATCAATAAAAAATACAAATCCTCTAGGATTTTCAGATTTTCTTTATGGTGATAATTGAATTCTTAAAATAATGCATACATTAAATAACATGAATCTCCCCCCGCTAATTTTCCTCCTGTTCCCAGTTTTGCTGTTTATCAGCTTAAGAGGTGGTTTAATTTGCATCAAGTAGTATACTATATTATTTTGAAATTAATCACCTTATACATTTATATAAATAAGGACATACAAGGGAGTATCCAAAAAAACAACTCCCCTGGGTGGGACTTTTCATAGTACATATTTTTCACACTAGGTGACTATCAGAAACTCACTCTGACTTAGTGCACGCACAGGCGTCGCCTAGGAGGGTCCTGTCTGGTCATAGTGAGTTTTTTTAAAAAGCAGCTTCACTTAAATCTCTCTCTCTCTTTTTTTTTTTTTTGGTGATTGCTGACTTAAGAGAACAGTGTGCTAAGAACTGCATGTGGCTGTGAAATTTTGTTTTCTTGGGGAAAATTCCGCTGTAGGATAGCACTATGGGAAATACTCAAATGTACGAGTGGTTTTCTTGTTTCAAAAAAGGTGAAATATCGATTGATGACATAACCTCGTTCTGGATATCCGTCAACTTCCCCAAGGGATGAAAATGACTACTCGTAGTGCATTGGGACTTTGTTCCCTCCAGGTCAGATTGTTAATCAAGCTTTCTATTTAGAGGTTATGAAAAGATTGCGTAACGGCAACAAAAAAGGACTGTTTTGTAGCCCATGGGGCACAAGTTTTTCCCCCATGACAATGCACCTGCTACTGCAGCCAATTCTGTGTGCCAGTTTTTGGCAATAAACAGCATGCCTCTCCTGACTCACCTGACCTCCGTGAGACTTCTGTCAATGAAGGACAGTGATTTTTGACTTAGAAGATTGGAAGAAAAAAAAAACGAGGATGGTTGCTGTCAGCAGTCCAAATAGATGAGTTTGAAAAATGTTTGCTAGAATGGAGAGGTATATCAAGCCCACCTTTTCTCAGGAAGAGGAGTCATGTACATTATATTCTGATAGATTGATAGAGTGCTCTGGGTGAATCATCATGTCCATGCCTAGATATTAGTTTATTGATATCTACATTTTCTGGAGAAGCCCTGGATTTAAGTTGGCTTTTTTCCCCCAATTGTACAAGTCTGTGCCAAAGAGTGCCTAAGAGCTATTTTTCGACTTTTACTTCATCTGAAAAGAGTCACGTATTCTGGCACTTAAAATAGCCAAGGAAAAACAGGATGGGTGGTCATCCTAAGGGAGTGCAGGTGGCATAAGGGGTTACATTTTGGGCACTTGTCTGCTTAATTGCAAAATCGCAGGAAAAAGCTAAACTTTCTGTTTTGGTAAAGATTTACAGCCTTGGAAACCCACAAGTCCAGTTCTTTCTATTCTGTTAGGGTGGCTGTGAGTCGGAATCAACTTAAGTTAGTTAAAACATCAACATCCTAGATAATAAGTTGATTTCTGTGAACACCTTATATTGCTAAACTGTCCACATTTTTGGCCTTCTATTATTAGCTGTGTACTTGCTTTCTACAGTGGAGAAGAAACTGGAAATCTGGAGTGTGTATATGCCTGAAGAATAAGAAGTAGAGCTTTAGGCAAAATGTGCCAGTGTGTGTAATGGTCTCTAACCAATAATAACTTAAATTTTTGTGACACCTGGTTATTTTTTTAAAAAGTCAGTCGACAAATTTGGTATTAAGATTTCTTTAAACTTTTTGCTATTTCTGCGTAAATGTAGTTATTTGCAAAATGGTGTAGTTAATTCCAAATATTTTTTTCTAAGTTATGCGAACTGACCAATATTTAAATGTGTTTAGAGTGATAGTTATTACATAGAGAGGCCTCTGGATTCCATAGCCCCTTTCCCCAATTTTAGTACAACAGACCTGGGGGCACTCATGGAATGGAATTCAGGTTGGAAGGAAAATGCCAGCAATAGACTGCTATTTTTAAAAAAAATCATTTTATTAGGGGCTCATACAACTCTTATCATATTCCATACATACATCAATTGTGTAAAGCACATTTGTACATTCATTGCCCTCATCATTCTCAAAACATTTCCTCTCCACTTAAGCCCCC